TCGGTCCGAACGATTCGGAGTTCCCCCGACTGCTTTTCAGCCCATGTATCATCTGTGTTGGCAGGCTGCTGCTGAGATTCTCATGCATGATGGATTTGGCGAATTACCCACTTGATACCCAGATCTGCAGCATTGAGACTGCCGTCTGTGAGTACTCTACCGTTCCAAGAAGCTGATTTAGCTGGCGCAGTTATGGCAGCGCGCGATGTATAGATGGTGTGCTACTCAGTAATACAGCGTGTGGGCCCAGGATTGCTTGCTCATTTTGAATGTTAAACAAATTAACTCCGTCCCTTCCAATCATGAGCGGTGTCTGAGGGGGATGGAGATGTGGCGAGACACATTTTCCCAGATTCAATACTTGAAGTGCATTTCCCTTTCCGTCCTGGAAATGATCGCGTGCTACCTTTTCGTGGAAATCAATAGCGCTAGTGAAGGCAACATACTGGGTGCCGCGTTAGGCCGACAGTCGACGGCAGCCACAGAATAACAACCATTAAAGTTAGAAGCACAGTGTTCGTCAGTATTGTCCTCTACTCTGGAAAAGCTGGCAGACATTGAAATGGACGGCAGTTTATTGCAATAAAAGGAAACGTACATCACTGCAATGTAGCGCTTAGCAATGCGAGTGGTATTAGCTTATAATCCATCAATCGCTGCCATTCAGTGCGGCAATATCGTCTTACGATGCACGCGTCACGTGTTTCAGTTTCAAAGACGACGCGTGAGCTGCAGCTGACCTGGTTTCACAACGACCCGATCAAGCTGTACAACAACCTCCGTCTGCCACAGTTCCAGGTCAAGCGGGGTCACGCCAGACCACTGCAGTCACGAAAACCAACTCGGTCCGTACTTATTAGGCGGCCGAGCCGGCCTACAAGCCTGATGCCCCGAGAAGGATAGCTTTGTAGCTCACTGTTGGATGATGTAAGGCGTGATCTAACGCCACCGTTGAAACATTTAAGACGAACGCACCCATACTGCATCAACGTAAGAACACCCAGAGTAACTCAACCGTCATTTGCAGCATGCGTCTATCGCACGGGACCAGCAACTCGGTCGCGCTTTCAAGCTCTTCGCTTTTCAGACATGTTTGCATTTGAAATAATGTGATAATTAAGAGCATATTGGCTGGGCAATATGATACAGCCCAATGCACCGATGTTTATTGCTGAACTGTCGCTCAAGCGCCTTGTACCCTCGGCTGGTGTGGCTGGGCTGGAGGACATTAGACCTGACGAATTATCCACTTGTCTCCCTAGCTGACTGAGATGGACGCTGATGTTTCTCGCGGTGTGTGGGGTGTTTGGTTTATTCATTGACATGTTTCAGGCAACTACAGCTGTTTGGAGGCAAAATTTCTGCTGGACAGGAACCTGGGTTATCATCTTGTGCAGTCATATATTCCCTCGTCTCTCATCGTGGTCATTTCTTGGGTAAGTAATGGGGCGCCACACACGCACACATGCGCATCGCTGTTTCGAAGTTACCTGTATGCCAACTCGGTTGGGTCATACCACTCGCAATTTTGTGGCAGCAATATCCCACGCACTTTTACAAATATTCATCCCCACATAGCTGAGTATTTCACTGAGCCTTAGTCCACCTCGCAAATACACACACGAACTCAGCGTTTTATCTGAAAAATTATGTTTTTCGTCCCATTAATCTCATGACGCGTTCGGAGTGTGTGTGAACTCAACGGATACGTGACATGACAGAGACAGAGACGGTCATGACAGCAACGAAAGCTTTCATTCCGTAAATGGTACGTACGGGAATGTCCCCCGTTTTATGTCCTTTTTAATACAGAAGCTGATTTAATGGTCCGTGTTGAGCTGATTACCAGTGGCCGGTCATTTGGTCAGAGACGGACAATACGCATGAACGGAGCTGAGGCGAGCCTTCTATGAGCCAACGTTTGTGTTTGAGCAAGGAAGCCCGCCAAGACTTAAAGGGCAGCTATAAATGAATGTATCCTTCAGAGGCGTATTAAGTGCACCTGGAATGAAACCAAAATACCCTCGCCAGGAAGCATTATTTGTCGTTGAATCTCTGTTTCCCCTAAGATGGCAGCAGATTGGTGTCATGTAATCACTGAAACATTATCACCTCACTTTCACATTATCACAATTGTCACGTCATTTCCTTCATTGCACACAAATCCTTTGATTAGTAAATATGTTTCTCAATGCGTCAGTGTCTGATTGCGTCATCTTATCTTCCACGGCATTGACTGAGAGCCAACTGACGGTCGTTGTATCTGGAAATTGTGCTCACGAACGCCAGATAGGAGCGACTCGACAATCTTTTTTTCTTGGCCCTGGACGCACCATGGCTCATGGAATGGCAGGATTTGAATTCCGTTGTTATGGCGACATGGATGTCTGGGTGACCTTTAAGTAATCTCACCTAAATAGTGTGCACATCTTCGCAGGCGTTTTACTCAGAAATAAGACGTATTTGGTCATAATTAGGGAAGTTGTAAACTGCACTGAATGATCTTCCAGATGGCTGTTTCAGTTCAAAATGTCATACAAATGTGAAACACTCCCTTTAAGGCCTTGAACCCTCGAGTTTTTACATACACCCCCGCGAGAGTGCGTGGACAATTTCATGCAGACCATTTTAACACGTGCTCGGGTGGCCAGCTAGATGCCCTTCGCCCGAGTGAGGGGTCAATTTAACCCCTCCCCTGAGATCTCGGTAACTAAGAGAGCTAGAGACACCATATCTACAGGGTGTATTGACCTGTACGTGAACTCACTTCGGTCAAAGTTTGAGGTTCCTAGGTCATGACCTTTGGGCCAATTAAGGTCAAACAAAGTCAAATTTCAGGTTGGTCTCCAAAGTGCCCCCAAAACCTAAATAGCTGTTTCTAAGCAAAAAGTCACATGCTCAGCTTAAGTCAGTAACCTTATTTGACCTTTTGAAGGTCAAGGTGACCAAAATCATACAAGGCCGTTCTGGGTTTTGCATTTGAATGAACGACAAAGATAACGCCAGGCAGTATGTTCCTAAAAAAATGCTGACCTGCTATCAATAAATTCGAAATGAGCACCAGAAACTGTCCCATACAGCAAGCCGTAGAGTAACAAAGCAGGCTGGTTTTGACCTTGATCTGACCTTTATACCTGACCTTAGGTCAAAGTAATTTGCTCATTCAATATGTGTGTTGCCTAAGAAAGCATCTTGGAGATGTATGGCTTTGTATAACACTCCGTTGTTGCATCAGACTGAACGATTCCCTAGAGATTGACTTCGCTGAAACCATGGCCTGAATTTGACCTGCCATAGATCAGCGACCTTACAAGCTACATCTAAATTTGTTGTGCCATAAGATTTACTATGCCGTTGTCTACATATATGCCAAATTTGGCGTGGCTGCGCCGCGCCGTTCGGAAACCTTCTGGAAAACATTCGGGGGGTCAATTTGACCCCCACCCTACCCGAGCGCGTGTTAAAGCCATTCAGGCATACATAACGCCATAGCGACGCAATTTAAGTGCCTCCACTTTACAGCCCAGGTTGCGCTCTGGTCCATGAGGGCGATTTCCAAATATAATGGACCTCAATTGGCGCCCAAACAATGGTGAGCCAGCCGCGCAAGCCTTAATACGCGCTCGGGCGGCCGGGTAGATACCATTCGCTCGGATGGGGGTTCAATTTGATCCCCTCCTGAGATCTCGGGAACTAAGAAAGCTAGAGACACCAAATTTACAGGGTGCCTTTACCTGCACGTGAAGTCACTTATAGTAAAGTTTGAGTCTCCTAGATTACGACCTTCAGGTCAAATAAGGTCAAACAAGGTCAATTTCCAGGCTGGTTCCTAAAGTGTCCGCAGAACCTAGGCAACTGTTTGTAAGCAAGAGGTCACAAGCCCAATTGAGGCCAGTGACCTTGTTTGACCTTTTGAAGGTCATGGTGACCAAAGTCATATAAGATTGCTCTGAGTTTTGCATTTGAACAAGCGACAAAGATTACGCTAGGAAGTATGTTCCTAAAACAAAAGGTCGACCCCGGTTATCTAAGGTCAGTGACCTGTTCTGACCTCTAAGAAGTCAATGAAAGATGCATAATGCGATTCCTGTCGTCAATAACTTTCAAATGAGCACCACAAACTACCCGATACGGCAAGTCGTAGAGTAATAAATCAGGTTGGCTTTGACCTCGGTCTGACCTTCATACCTGGCCTTAGGTCGACGTAATTTGCTCATTCAATATTTTTGTTACCTAAGAAAGCATCTCAGAGATGCATGGCTTCGTCAGACTCTCCGTTATTGTGTCAGATTGGACGATTCCCTAGAAATCGCCTTCGCTAAAGCCATGGCCTGACTTTGACCTGCCATAGGTCAGCGACCTTACAAAGTACATCTAATTTGTATATGTCAAACGATCCGCTATTTAATTGTCTACAGCTATGCAACTTGGCGGGACTACGTTGCGCCGCTAGAAAACCATTCTGGAAGAACCTTCGGGGGGTCAATTTGACCTCCACCCGAGCGTGTGTTAACCAGGAAGTATGTTTTGTGCTACATAATACAAGAAGTTCGGCATGTTTCTTCATTTTCCGGAACTTACGGAAATCAGACTTGCAATCAAATAACTTAAAGGGCTTAGGTGTAAACTTATGTAGTATTCTTTATTCAAGGATACTAAAGCAAGCATTGCATATGGTGAAATAAGCTCGCTCTTAGTTATTGATGTACTTTAAGGGAAAAGGCGGCTATAGACAACACAAATTTTCTTTTGAGTAGAAACTATCCTCAGTCCGTCATTGCCTGATTACGTTATCTAAGTGCCTTGCACAACAATGATTGGGAATCAATTGACGGCCATTATATCTGGAAATCGTGTTCACGAACACCAGGTATGAATAACCAAACAATCATTCCAGGTGTGAACGACTCGACAATTATATTGTTATCGACCTTGATCGCCGAATGGCCAATAGAATGACAGGATTTGGATAGTTCATTATGACGTCATCGATACCTTGGCGACCTTGCAATAGTGTCCCCGAAATAGTCCGCGTATCTTCGAGGGCGTGTAGCTCAGAAACTAAAGGGGTTTAGGCCCTAAGAAGGACAGAGCTGCGAACGGCACCGAACGATCTTCAGCACGGCCACTTAAGTTCAAAATTCCATACAAATGTAAGGTCTCCCTTAAGATGGATATACCCTGTAAAGTCGCTGACCCACTGCAGGTCAAAATCAGGCCGTTGCTGCCAGCGAGGCACATTTCTAGGAAATCATTCGATGCGAAGCAACAACGGAGTGTTAGATGAAACCATACATATTTGATATGATTTCCTAGGGAATGAACCAATTGAATATAGAATCACGACTAATCCCAGAGTGATGGTTAGAACGAGGTCCAGACTAATGGAAACATAAAAGGATGAACAATCCACAGAGCAAGAGCAAAGTGTATTTGGTACTTCCGCTTTTTGTGATCCTCACACACACGGTTGTCATATTGTAAAGCGCTCGTCCCGTATCAGTTTAAGAATCTTGAACACAGCACGAATACCAAAATACATATCTAGCTGCATGTGAAGCTGGCTCATCTCACTGAATCTGTCGACATTTAAGTAAATGAGCAGCAAGCCTAAGTACTTTGATAGCATCGAGTGCAAATCCTTGAACGTTTTTGCAATATCATTCACGCGTTCCGCCGTCTGCGTAAGTTTACTTATCTGTGGCGAGGTTTCACTGCGGCGGCAAAGTGCTTGCCGCTCGTTGCTGCTGTCATACCCACCTGATAACCTCGCAGACGCTGGTTGGAGATGGGCCGTCACAACTGTTGCGTAACATCCTCACGGTACCCGCGTCGCTATCGGCCGATGGCGTTGGCAGATGCTCCAGACTGCATGATGCTACCATATCTTTACAGCACGCCGGCTTTTCGAAGCCAGGCTTGAATCTCGATTTTTGGAGCGGTATGATGTGTCCGATCCCATTTTAGATAGCTGTTCCAAGTGACAGTTCAAAAATTGTTGGCTTCTTGTTGGTGAACATCGTACACGTATTTTCCCGTGTTGAGCCTATTGCCAGTGTGAATCTTACGCCTGATTCGGTAGAAATAATGTTTTCTTGCGACAAACTACAAATCTGGTATAGGGCAGAGCGGGGCAAGGAACTGGCATTTTATGAAAAAGCATTTTGTTTGAATTATAACACAGATCTCATAAAACAACGCCCCATGTGACAGATTTATCGAGGGCTTAAGTGTTTCAGGACGGGTAGCAAACGTGTTGAATGGCAGCGTGCAGAATCCGAAACACCTTGACATCAGGGGAGGATCCAGAGGAGGGTGGAGGTGGCGGGCACGGGGCCATAACCCTCCCTGGGCTCGAAGGTGCTCAAAGGCTCCGAAAGGTCCATAACAGGTTGAACGGACCCAGTTTTTTAACACAAAACACAACAAGCTTAAA